TATTTTTTAGAGTAATATATATTTTAGCTGACTTTTTCCATGGCTTTCAGCTTATTTATGGTTTTTACACTTATTTTTTAACTTTTTATACTTTGCCTGCACAGCTGTACTCATCAAATACAGTCCTTGAAGGATGACTGTGTTTGTTATTTGGATTTATAACAGACATCGTGTTCTCCCTGACTTTCCAGGAATTTTTTTTATTTAGTTTGGGGATGTTCTATTTATTATTTTGATTTTCTCTTTAAGAAATAAATACAAAAAAGCATAAGGTGGCACATTTTGTTGGTAACACTTTAGCTTCTAGAAATAATCCTTGTAAAACTGCTGGCTTGATTTGGCCTTTCTTTGATTTAGGATAAAAAAAACTGGTTACTAGTTTTTCCATGGCTGCCAATGGGTCCTATTTTTTGAAAATATTAGTGGCAGACCTTTGCCATATTCTACCAAGCATTTTTTAAAAATCTAATACTACTTCCTGCATAATGGGGCCTTGATTCTTACTGGAGCATATGAGCGCTACTGTAACATGCACATTAAATAATAAATCCCCCGTTTTAGGTCCTAATCCTGCATCGGGGTCTGTTAACATGGACTACTGCACCCTTGCAGAGATCACGTGCAGTCAACGGTTCTCTCAACACCTCTTGCACTTGGCTCCCCACCTGGCTCCAGTCTTGTCACTCATAAGAACATAAGAACGGCCATACTGGGTCAGACCAAAGATTCATCCAGCCCAGTGTCCTGTCTACCGACAGTGGCCAATGCCAGGTGCCCCAGAGGGAGTGAACCTAACAGGTAATGATCAAGTGATCTCTCTCCTGCCATCCATCTCCACCCTCTGAGAGACAGAGGCTAGGGACACCCTTCCTTACCCATCCTGGCTAATAGCCATTAATGGACTTAACCACCATGAATTTATCCAGTTCTCTTTTAAACCCTATTATAGTCCTAGACTTCACAACCTCCTCAGGCAAGGAGTTCCACAGGTTGACTGTGCGCTGTGTGAAGAAGAATTTCCTTTTCTTTGTTTTAAACCTGCTGCCCATTAATTTCATTTGGTGGCCCCTAGTTCTTATATTATGGGAACAAGTAAATAACTTTTCCTTATTCACTTTCTCCACACCACTCATGATTTTATATACCTCTATCATATCCCCATCTTAGTCTCCTCTTTTCCAAGCTGAAAAGTCCTAGCCTCTTTAATCTCTCCTCATATGGGACCCATTCCAAACCCCTATTCATTTTAGTTGCCCTTCTCTGAACCATTTCTAATGCCAGTATATCTTTTTAGAGATGAGGAGACCGCATCTGTACGCAGTATTCAAGATGTGGGCGTATCATGGATTTATATAAGGACAATAAGACATTCTCTGTCTTATTCTCTATCCCTTTTTTAATGATTCCTAACATCTTGTTTGCTTTTTTGACTGCCGCTGCACACTGCGTGGACGTTTTCAGAGAACTATCCACAATAACTCCAAGATCTCTTTCCTGATTAGTTGTAGCTAAATTAGCACCCCCACCCCATCATATTGTATGTATAGTTGGGGTTATTTTTACCCATGTGCATTACTTTACATTTATCCACATTAAATTTCATTTGTCATTTTGTTGCCCAATCACTTAGTTTTGTGAGATCTTTTTGAAGTTCTTCACAGTCTGCTTTGGTCTTAACTATCTTGAGCAGTTTAGTATTATTGCAAACTTTGCCACCTCACTGTTTACCCCTTTCTCCAGATCATTTATGAATAAGTTGAATAGGATTGGTCCTAGGACTGACCCTTGGAGAACACCACTCTCCATTCTGAAAATTTACCATTTATTCCTACCCTTTGTTCCCTGTCTTTTAACCAGTTCTCAATCCATGAAAGGATCTTCCCTCTTATCCCATGACAACTTAATTTACATAAGAGCCTTTGGTGAGGGACCATGTCAAAGGCTTTCTGGAAATCTAACTACACTATGTCCACGGATCCCTCTTGTCCACATGTTTGTTGACCGCTTCAAAGAACTCTAATAGATTAGTAAAACACGATTTCCCTTTACAGAAACCATGTTGACTTTTGCCCAACAATTTATGTTCTTCTATGTGTCTGACAATTTTATTCTTTACTATTGTTTCAACTAATTTGCCCGGTACTGATGTTAGACTTAAATATTGGCGTTACATTAGCTATCTTCCAGTCATTGGGTACAGAAGCTGATTTAAAGGACAGGTTACAAACCATAGTTAATAGCTCCGCAATTTCACATTTGAGTTCTTTCAGAACTCTTGGGTGAATGCCATCTGGTCCCAGTGACTTGTTACTGTTAAATTTATCAATTAATTCCAAAACCTCCTCTAGTGGTTCAATCTGTGACAATTCCTCAGATTTGTCACCTACAAAGAATGGTTCAGGTTTGGGAATCTCCCTAACATCCTCAGCCATGAAGACTGAAGCAAAGAATTCATTTAGTTTCTCCGCAATGACGTTATCGTCTTTAAGTGCTCCTTTTGTATCTCGATCGTCCAGGTTATTAGCAGACTGGTTATTTAGCAGACTTCCTGCTTCTGATGTACTGAAGCATTTTGTTATTACCTTTTGAGTTTAGCTGTTCTTCAAACTCCTTTTTGGCTTTTCTCATTACATTTTTACATTTAATTTGGCAGTGTTTATGCTCCTTTCTCTTTACCTCACTAGGATTTGACTTCCACTTTTTAAAAGATGCCTTTTTATCTCTCACTGCTTCTTTTACATGGTTGTTAAGCCAAGGTGGCTCTTTTTTAGTTCTTTTACTGTGTTTTTTAATTTGGGGTATGCATTTAAGTTGGGCCTCTATTATGGTGTCTTTGAAAAATGTCCATGCAGCTTGCAGGGATTTCACTCTTGTCACTGTACCTTTTAATTTCTATTTAACTAACCTCCTCATTTTTGCATAGTTCCCCTTTCTGAAATTAAATGCCACAGTGTTGGGCTGTTGAGGTGTTCTTCCCACCACAAGAATGTTAAATGTTATTATATTATGGTCACTATTTCCAAGCGGTCCTGTTATATTACCTCTTGGACCAGATCCTGTGCTCCACTCAGGACTAAATCGAGAATTGCCTCTCCCCTTGTGGGTTCCTGTACCAGCTGCTCCATGAAGCAGTCATTTAAAGTATTGAGAAATTTTGTCTCTGCATTTCGTCCTGAGGTGCCATGTACCCAGTCAATATGGGGATAATTGAAATCCCCCACTATTATTGAGTTCTTTATTTTGATAGCCTCAGATTCCTTTATTTGGCATACAGCAAAGTTACACAGAGTCAGGACCCTACAGTTACAACACTGTGACGTTTCAGATTTAAATATCTGAAATCATGACATTTACAATTTTTAAAATCCTATGACTGTGAAATTGACCAAAATGGACCATGAATTTGGTAGGGCCCTAATTATAGCCATTAGCTCTTGGAAAGTCTGTATCTGAAGTTACTAGTCAAGTTTCACATTGGTAACTGCAAAATCAGAAAGAAAGAACAAAGTTTTTAGTCTTTGTAAGGGGGTAGGGTATACCATACATCCAAAGTTACATCGCAAACCTCTTCCATTATATACACTTGCATATTACATTCCATCACACCTTTTGGGATTGGGTTGGTCACGCTGTATGAACCAATCCCTGTACAGCACACACACTCTTTACCTCATCTTTTAAGGCAGAGAAAATTCTGGAGCAGCTCTTCAGAGGAAGGAATTATCTGGAGAGTCACCCCCACCAAACAAAAATCTCTGACTCCGCCTGCTACAGCGTGGAGGACTGAGAACGTATCGACCCATTCCCCCAAGTAAGATATTAATAGTACATACATGCTGGGTCAGTAATTATTGCCAAAACTATTGTTTAAACTTTGAAAGAAGATAAGTGTCCAATAGCAAGATTGTTTATTTGTTCAAATTCAACAAACTGCACAGAACAGCCAGCCATTTTTCTTGGGAAGAAGCCAGCCCAGTATCAGAAAGGGTTTTCTCCACTTCGTATAAATTCATCATCCTCTTAAAATTAAGGGAATACACTGTGTATCTCTCCTGGACTGGCAAATACATCATCAACCACACTAGGCCAACTTTCAGCTCTTGGTCACACCTCAGCAGACCCACTGAAACCTGTTGGGCTGCACCGGTGTAAACTGAACAGAATCTGGCATGTTGAGAGTGTCATAGCCCCAAAGAGATAAAGTGCACTGTCTTTCCTTTGTCTTGTAACAGACAGCAGAAGTACTCCACTAACCAGCAGAGCAATTAGCAACATAATTTGGGAGGATTTGCACAATTAATTATGTCTGCATTCTTCAGAAATGATTTCCCCCTACAACCAACTTGATGTGCCTGGTTTCAGACCTAACCTCATCCCCATTTCCTACCAAAAAGAAAAAGACCCAGAAGTGTGTGTGCAGGAGCTTGCACATTGTATTCCCTATTAATGATAAAACTCAGCGTAGTTCGCCTTTTGCCATCTTGCAGTTAAATGAAGAGAAGCTAAGGAATGAAAAATACCCCTTAGTAACCATGACGTTCTGTACCAATTGCGTTTTTCTAAAAGACACTCCTCCTGAATCATCTGAGACAAAGCTTATGAGGTTTGTTATTTCACTGTTTTCTAAAGTTATTAAAATTCAAAGTAGTAATAGGGGTGGTGCAGCTTTTAAAACGTAGTGTGAAAAGTGTTGCCTTCAACTGTTTCAACATTCTTGGACAGGAAGCCAGCTTGCCAACACTTTAAACTGATACACACACTGGATCCATTCACTCATCTCCATCTGGCAGGATGGCTCTGAGCCTACTTACAAGGTAATATGGCAGTTTAAATATTAATAGAAGGTTCCCTGCAAATAATCTCACAATGTGATAGTGTATCTGCAAAAGATTTCATAGTGTTACATCTCTGAATCAAGGTAATATCTATTGTCCTAGAGGCATCATTTTTTTATCTTTTCAGAAGGATGATAGAGGAGACATGCTGCCACATGAATTTACCTCTGCACAACGATCTGCACAACCAGCATCACCATCCAGGAACCCTGATATTTCTTGTCACCTCTGAAAAAAATAAAAATGGGAAATTGACTTTGGCGGCCTAGCTTCATAGCAGTACTGCAAATACGTCAAGAAGGAACCTCACATTATTTGTTCTTTGTTCTTGGATACAAAACATGATACCAGTTTCTGACCATAAAAATCTTACCCCCGTCACACATGACCAGCATGCTTGTGTTTAGGAGTACCTGTCTGCAGAGGTCTTGATCATTATCATCTATTACTTATAAAGTACTAAAAGCGTGCTGAGTAGTGTACAAAATATGGAAGATGCCAAGCTTGTACCAAAGAGCATACAACCAAAGTAAGATGATGGTCATAGTCTGCCTTGACTTCCAGCCATGCCAAACTACTGAAGACCATTTAATATATTCAGGCTGAACAAAGTACAAAGAAATACATTGAAGGACACGATCCTGTCCTGGGCAGGTGGATGGACTAGACAGTGGCAAGGGTTAAGACCTGCTGGACTACTATGAATACTACAAAGAAAGAAAAATGTGAACCCTTCCCAAGGGTAACTCAATGAGCTGATTAACAAGGGACCTATTGCCTGATGGACGTCATGAGTAAGGCTGCGAGTTTGTCACGGAGATCACAGAAGTCATGGATTCCGTGATTTTCCGTGACCTCCGTGACTTCTGCAGCGGCCAGCGCCCTGGTTCAGGGGCAGCTCAGGCAGCCCCTGCGCCAGCCATACCAGCCACTGCTGAGGAAGTCTCTTGGGCCACCGCGCCCTCCCTCCCCGCGCCACCAGCAGCAGCACAGAAGTAAGGGTAGCAGTACCGCAACCCCCACAGTAATCTTGTGACCCCCCCCCCCCACCATCACAACTTCCTTTCGGGTCAGGACCCTATAGTTACAACACTGTGACGTTTCAGATTTAAATATCTGAAATCATGACATTTACAATTTTTAAAATCCTATGACTGTGAAATTGACCAAAATGGACCATGAATTTGGTAGGGCCCTAATTATAGCCATTAGCTCTTGGAAAGTCTGTATCTGAAGTTACTAGTCAAGTTTCACATTGGTATGTGCAAAATCAGAAAGAAAGAACAAAGTTTTTAGTCTTTATAAGACTAGCAGGAAAGTCAAAAACCTCTCATCTAGTACCAAAGTATGCAATGTTTTTGACACAGTATGTGAGGTAAGGGTATTATATGCAGATAACAAGATATGTGACATTCCTCAGACTGTGGCATTTCTAGCTTGGCTAGAGTTGGTACCAAGTAGACCATATTTTCAAACTACCTCAAGCTAATAGAACTATGTAATGCAACACATTTTGAAATGGGCATTTGCGAAAAGCACCTTCTGTACATGCATACAACCCTGTTTGCAGTCATGTGTCTAAACTGCACTATTTGAAACATTCCTGTGTAAAAATCTCAGCCAGCGCTCACTGGGTGTAATGCACAAGACATTCTTAAAGGCAAATGTTGCTTGATCACGTTGGGATTGCTCCATTTATAGAAGGGATGGGAAGGGAACCGAGTGTCACGACTGTGGAAATAATGCCAGAGACATTTCCACAGTATAGTTCACCAGACAGAAAGCAGGGCAATCACTTCTCTGGTACAAAATCAGCTCCATTTTAGTTTAGATACTATGCATATTCTGATACCTCAGAGGATAAGTGGTGGGAAGAGAACCTCTCGCCTCTAGGTGGCACAGGTAGCAATAGTGACTAAATGTCACTGTCTGACCGCTGTTTGGCAGGCGCGGTGACATAAAATGAAACTTTCCATCCAGATCCTCGTGTACAAGAGGCCTAACTCTTAAAACTGCCGTCATACCTGGGCTCTTCTCTCCTTCTAGGACAGACGCCAGCAAGGATAAAGAGTCTAGACCTACCACACCACTATCATACTTATTCAGCTACTTTTGATGGTCCGAGGTGCTGGCACTTTTGGTGCTGAAGACCCCGAATTCAATCTACAGTGATGACCAACCATCAAGCAGCCAGACTCCAGCCAGCCGTGGCAGAAGCAGCCTTAAAGAGAGACCTCTGGACATTCAGAGAGCTTTCTACAGTTTTGACTGGACTTCTCTGCCAGGTGCTGATTGGCTGTTTCCTCTAAACCTCCTGCTCCTCCTCTCTCACAGTCTCTTCACTTCACCTTGACTCCACCACCTGTTTCCCTCTTTTCTATCTGCCTTTCCCATTGAGCTAATCCCCCGCTAACTGTATCCACCAAAAACAGTGGAACTAGCATGCCATTGTTCACTCAGCTTGTGTTCCCCTTCCTTCCCCACCCCTTCCTCCACGGTATGTCTGTCTTGTCTATTTAGCTTGTAAAGCTCTTCAAGGCAGGGGCCATCTCCTATTCTGTATTTGTACAACGGGACCCCATTCTTCGTTGGCCCTTAATCAATGCCATAATAAAACTTACTAAATAATACTAACTATATACTAAATAATGCTGTCTGTATGTGTCCGTGGCTGCAATGTGTTCCACATGGATTTCTGTTGCCAGACCTGTCAGTCTAGTTCTGTTCACAAAGTACCATTTTTTCCTTCTAATCCGGATGGATGCTTCATTGCTCTGACTCAAATGATGAAAGAGAATAGTAAAAATGGCACAAAATTAATTCCTCCCTATGGCAGGTTCTCATGGGAAGCTGAAAAGATACAAAAATAGACCCATTCTTATTAGTGCCATAAGACTGATAGGTGAATCTTATTCAGAGAAGGAAACTGTAACGACAAGAATATAAATGTTAATGTGAGGTTCAAATGCAATTTTAATATTTATCCTGTAGAGGTAAATAGCCCTGGTGCATATCTGAACAGTAAACACACACTAAATCAATTCAAGTGCTTGCAAACTAATCCATTTTCAAATAGGTTTCCTTCAAGGCAAAGAGTCTGCACTGCCCAGGACCCAGTCCTTTGGTGATGGAAGCAGAAAACAGAGGTACTAATCTGTGCCATTTTAAAAGCACCACACTGCTGAGTGCAGCTGTCTCCACTGGGCCATCGCTCATATCAGAAAGCACTTATACCGTCCTTTATGCTTTCCCGGAGTCTCCCGTCATTGCTAAGACTTTTGTTGTGTTAACAGCTAAGATTCATCATTCTGAACACACACCAAATCCAAACACCTTTGAAATGTAGGGAGGTTCAAAAACCATACCTGGATCTGGACTAAAATTTGATAATGGCTCCAGTCCTTATGCCAGGCTGACCCCAGCTGGTGGATCTGAACACAACAATCCTTAGGACCCAGGGCCGGCGCTTCCATTTAGGCAACCTAGGTGGTCGCCTAGGGCACCAGGATTTGGGGGGGCGGCATTTTGCCGCCCTCGGTGGCAATTCGGCAGCGGGGGGTCTTTCCGCGCTCTGGGTCTTCGGCGGCAATTCTGCGGTGAGTCCTTCACTTGCTCTGGGACCCGCCGCCGAAGTGCCCCGAAGACTGGGAGCGTGGAAGGACCCCCCCACCGCAGAATTGCCGCTGACGACCGGGAGCGCGGAAGGACCCCCGCCTAGGGCGCCTAAAACCTTGGTGCCGCTCCTGTTAGGACCCACTGAAGTGAATGGAAAGATTCTTACTAACGTCAATGGACTCTGATTAAGGCCCATTGAAGAAGCGATACCTGTAATATCTGCATGGTAGCAGTTAGGAAATGCTGATTTTTTTTAAATGGTTCCCACCATACATGTTTTGGTGGCTGATCTGCAGATCTTCAACTATTTCATGACTCTTCGAGCTTTGGAAAGCAATATCGTCATTTCAGATTGTGCTCATCTGCACATCTGATAGGTGACAATATTAATCAGACAAACACGCAATGGGTTTTTGTCTCCCTCCCCCACTTCAATAAAGTACAACACATGTATAGTCCAGAATAGAACCTGTGAAACATGTTTAATGCTTGGTGTTGACGTGTAGGAATTAGGTGATAACCTCAGGCATTTGCCAGAGCATTGGTCTCTCCTCCAAAAAGCCACGGATCATGATTTTAGGAAATCGTGGTAGGTGTTAGTATATAGGTCCGTTTGTTAGCTTGGGATAGAATTTTGGGTTTGACTTTTTGATACTCTTATATCTTATGCTAATATGTGTAAACAAACGACAAAGATGCTGTGATGTTGCTTCTGCCTAATCAGATGGATTTGTAAGTACAATGGCAACAGATAAGAGCAGTTAAAGTATTACTCCACGGCACACCTAAAAGATTGCCTCAAGCCCTATCTCAAGGGAAGGTCAAGCAACCAGTCAGGAGGGGCAAAGGGGGATGGGGAGAAGGTATAACACACTAGAAGACCAAAGAAATGTCTGTCCCTGACCGCAGCACAACTTCACTCCTTACCCCTCCCACTGGGTACAAAAGGGGTGGGACTCTAGGCATGCATTGCAGGTATATTTGGGCCTGCTAAGGAGGAGGAGATGGGGAGGGGGAAATTAGGAACAGGGACACAGGCAAGGCTCTGCGGTGTCAGAGCTGGGAAGGGGGACACGGGGTAAACACTCTGCAGTGTCAGAGCTGGGAACGGACTCTGCTGGCGTGTAGAACTATGGATGTGTTTGCTTGGAACTAACCCCAATAAACATCACATTGCCTGCACTTCGACTTCTGGTCTTCTGCTTTCTGTCTGCATGACAAGAACCAGGGAGGGGGTGAAGGGAAAGCCCTCTAACAGTAGACATCCCTTTAAAATATGGTGGGAGTCATTAAAAAGCCAACACATGCCAGGCTTAACTACAGTTATCTCCTATTCTAAGAAAAGGTGAACATGGGCTTCCCACCCACCCCCTCCTGAGATAACTGCTGAAGAATGCTGGTCCTTGGCCATACGCCAAACTTCTGACAATTAGGAAGAAGCTTTCCTCCCCGGGGACAGGTTTCCCTGTAACTGCCAAATGCAGGGTTTCTGCCACCTTCGGCTGCAATAGGTGGGCTGGCCATGTAGGAGAGAGAGCATACTGGACCAGGGAGGCCACTTGTCTGAGTCTCTCTGGCAATTTCTATATTCCTATGTACTAATGTCTGCACAAAG